CTTAGTTTTGGATGATTTGCTGAGTGGGTTGGGACTTATTGCGTTGAGTGGAGGGAGTCATCTGTATAAATGAGAGTTTCTTTCACCCGTATAATGTCCCTCGCTGTTTCACTCTTTTTAAAAAGTTATTTTTCATCTATCATTTTCAACCAAGCAGCAAGAGGTCAAATTTAAGAATAAGTAATAGTTTGTCACGATTTTACGGAAAAAAGTCAGAGCGCGATGTCGCTCTTGTCGATCTTAAAGACAGCTTGAACTGGATAGATGGTTAGTCTTTTTCAAACATACCATACGTTCTGCATGTTAGTATATTTGGCCATTCGGGTTAGGCCCTACTGCCCTACCCCCTCAATAGGGAAGTCACACTTTGGGAAGAGGTGTTTAATTTGACAGATCTGACTTGATTGTTGTTGTGATGGCTGAAGGAAGAGGGACGGGGAGGAAAATTCAGAGGGTGAAGAAGCAGAAAAATAACTTGTTTGTAAAACGGACAGCACGTCAGTTTCAGGAAAGATGACACCGGTTTTATGCATGACATGCCAAATATCCTGAAGCCCTACAAAAAAAAAAAGGTACAATTATATTGTGTTGAAAATATCGCAAAAAGTCGTAATATTGTATAATGTATTAGTTGCATGTTGTATTTTGATAAAAATCACTGTATATTCAAAAATATAATGGAAAAAGGAGAGAAAAAAACAAATATCACAGTATGTTGAAAAATATGAAAAAAGTAATGTTGTGTTAACCATGGCACTTGGACTATTTACATCATCCAGGGCTCAACACCAGTAAATACACCTCTCTTTATCCGCTCTCCAAGCCTCCAAGGGCGGACTCCTGAGTTCCGTAATGTCCCCCTAACATGACACTTAGATATCATCTAGGGAAGCACACCAGTAAATCTTCCTTATAGTTAATAAAGTAATTAAACAATAAAAAGACAATACCATGGGGTCATTAAGATCTTTAAATTATTATTTTCCTCTCAAAGAGACTTCGTTGTAGTTAGTAAAGTAATTAAACATTAGTTCGCAAGCCATACAACTAAAGAGAACATCCAGTTCACAAGCCATACATTTTCAAAAGAACATCCTTAGTTAACAACAACTTCATAAGGGCTTTTAAAGTTGTGTGAAGTAATTAAACATTACAAATACAATATCAGGGCGTCATTAACATATTTTTTAATTATTATTACCCTCTTTTCAAAAAGAGAGTCCCTTGTAGTTAGTAAAGTAATTAAACATTAGTTCACAAGCCATACAACTTAAGAGAACATCCATAGTTAACACAAATCATATTAAAAACTAATCTAATTTTTTAGGTGACTTAGTGAATGAGAAATAATGGCTGATAGCAAGATCAGGAGGTGACAGGCAGGGGGAGAGGTGGGAGGGGGTTTGAGGGGGGACAGTCTCACACATCCAGACTCCATTTTTCATGAAGAGCCTCAGACGGAGGGTCTGAACCCGGCACAGATACTGCATCCGTTTCTTGACTGGCGCTCCCGACGGATGGCGGTAAGTTGTCACAGGCGTCTCGCTGATTGAACCCATATCGATGCGTCTCTTTTCCATTTTCTTTTTTGAAAGTTTAGGTGACTTGGTGAGTGGAAATGACTGGCTTTTTATCTAGTTTGCACGGATTTCCTTTTTCTTACCTAACTCCACCCCTCACTATCTTCTGACATCACAGCAAAAGGAAGGGGGGTGACAGAAGAGGTGAGAGGGGGACGGGGTGGGAGGAGGACGGGGTGCGAGACAGTCTCACACAACTTCAAAGAGACTACCTTAACACTAGTTACAAACACTGATCAAAGGACATACATCATAGGGCTAATTAGATTGACATCAAAGGCTTATAACACGCCGGTGTGATATCACACCGACATGTTACAACACCTCACCCCCTTACATCAAAGGACAGACATCAAAGGGCTAATTAGATTGACATCAAAGGCTTATAACACGTCGGTGTGATATCACACCTACATGTTACAACACCTCACCCCCCTTACATCAAAGCACAGACATCAAAGGGTAATTAGATTAGACAACAAAGGGCAGACATCAAAGGCTAATTAGATTAGACAACAAAGGATCTACCACAAGGGGGAATATCACACCTACATGTTACAACACCTCACCCCTCACATCAAAGGATATCACACCTATCTGTGATATCACACCTACACGCAATAACACCTCGAACAAAGGGGCTCATTAGCATATCAAAGGGGATCATTAGCATAAGTATTAGTAGGTGTGACCTGTCACAGCACCTGTCACTTTTTATGCATACTAATGTGATGAGAGTGGCATCAGTACTACTACTCACTGGATCACAGAAATTACATTTACTTTGATTTCAATCAGGAGAGACGTTGATGTATGAAATACATATTTATTACCGGGACACATAATATGAATGTAATAATGATTGCCAGAACTAAAACAGGAGAATGGAATGGTGTTTGGCGATTAGGCCCCGGTTTGCAGGATTATCATTCAGGAGGGGGAAGAACCGCTCCGAAGAAACCCCCCGGGGTCTAGACACTGGTGGTGGTGATAAGTAGGTGGGACCGGTCTGAAGGGAGAAGGTTTAGCTTGGTCCTGAAGGAGACCGGAGGCAAAAGGGGTGGAGGAGGGTTGCGACCCGAAGGTCGACGGCCGAAATCACTGCCAGGCTTACGTGAACACTACCGATACCGAGCGGCAGCTTGAGGAAGTCGATGCGATCTTAGGTAGCGTGTCGGGCCCGGATCGAAATCCTGCTGAAAGCTGGTCGTGGTCTGAATACTCTGAATCGTACATCTTGAGAATTTAAGAGGTTAGTTTGACAATGCCGATTCACCTGGAATGCTTGCGTATTGTCACCTGAAATGACAGCTGACTTCTTCTTCTTCTTCTATAGAGTTTATTGGCGGTTAATGACAGCTGACAGAGGGAAGAGCAGATATAAAGGGATTAGCGGGTGCAACGATAGGCTTGTGAGAATGGAGAGAGGAGTGATTGGTTAGCTGGGGAGTGACGCCCCCGATCACTTAATGAGGGAGGAGAGAGTAATGAAGTGACGTGTAATATGAATGAAGAGCTTGGTCTTCCTGATTGAACTTGCGCTGAGCTTCATAAACATTTGTGCTGATACAACGATTAATTTAATCACGATCACATGATTTTATGCGATCGTGATTAATCGGATTGTTTTGCGCAAAATTCAGTAATGAAATGAAAAAGTAGTGTATATGTATAACTTTTCTCCAAACCACAGACTGTCTGTGCCATGGCGAACAGTCGCTGCTTTATTTAAGTTTGTATGACGTGAGTGTAGCATAAATAAACCATCCCTAGATGCTCTCATTGGTTGAGACGCGTGATGACACCAATACTGATCACCCCGCCCCTCCTGTGACCCATGGTCTGTACGTGTATTCAGAGCCAGTGAGCAACGGACAATGTCAAAATTGTAAAAACAAAATGATAATAACGCGTTATCTTGCCCAGCCTTAAAAAACACCTTCAATGAATCTCTACCTTTTCTTTTTGTTGCCCTTTGTGCTGTCTTCCTATCAACTGCAACCTTTGTCCTACATACTATATTTTATATGTAGTTAATTGCGGCGAGGCTGATTGTGGCGTGCTTTGTTGCCGCTATAAACCTGCGAAAGCATTGTGAGCTAACTTATGAACTTGAACGTAATAAGCTAATGTGCATTCATTTGAACTGTATGAGAAATGAAGAGGGAAAGAGACCAGTTTGTTCACAATTGTTATTTTACTCACTTTAGGATGTTTTTAGTGTTGTTGCAGATTTGATTATTGTGTAAAAGTTAAGATTTATATTACGGACTAACTGTGTGCTGGCTGGTTTTTATTTTTAGGGACGGTTTCTTTCCGACATCCTGGAGCGGAGTCCATCCTGGAGCTCCATCGCTGCTGTGGAAGTGCCGACTCCTATGGATGATATGTGGATGTTGTGTCGTCTCCTATGGATGATATGTGGATGTTGTGTCGTCTCCTATGGATGATATGTGGAAGTTGTGTCTCCTATGGATGATATGTGGATGTTGTGTCTCCTATGGATGATATGTGGATGTTGATCCACAGGAAGGTAGGGACGGGTTAAAAAACACCTTTCTTTGGAGTTTTATTTTGAACATTGTAAACAGATCTGTGATTCATTTTGAAAGCATTTTTTTCTTCCTTTATCAGAAACATTTTAATACATTTTATTTTATTTTTATTTAATACATTCTGTGAGTAATTGTATTTTCTCTGATCTATATGTTTTGATATAAGAATACACAATTATTTTCCATGTTCCTAAGTTGTGGTCCTGTGTGTCATTGTGTCGGCTGGAGGTCTTAAAGGTGGGGTAGGTAATTTTGGAGAAACCAGCTCGAGTGCGCTAGAATTTGAAAATACACAGCCGGAAAACATCTGCCACTTCCTTACAGAGCCCCTCCTCCAACACACACGAACGCGCACATGACCAATGAGGGCACGAGATAAGTTTGTGCACAGATGGAAGGCTGACAGGCAGGTAGGCCATCCAGTTATTTTAGCCGGGCCGGCTCAGATGATTGGTCGTGCTTTTTACAGTACTACGGGTTCCACAGATGATATTTTTGAATGAATTTTTTGTCAAATAAGATATTCATTGCTATCGGGATGTTAAGAGCATTCCATGGAATATAACAAAAAGTGTATCTCGAGCCGGTTTCTCAAACTTACCTAACCCACCTTTAACTTGTATATAGAGTTCGCTAAACCAATATCCTAAACAAACCTAGAATTAGAGTTAACCTTTATTGTGCATTTTGAGTTTGGGGTACCTTAGAGATTTAGACACTATAGATACTAAACGCATTATTGACATAATAGATCAACTACCACCAGGGAAGGTTCCTTAAAGGGTTAAATCTGTTCAGCTGGTTATGAAACAAAGGGAGGAGCTGCAGACAGCTGAGGGCGTTAAAGTTAAAGTAGGAAGTCAAACTGCCAGACGCCCTTTTTACACTTCGACGGAGCAGGAGGACAACAGGGTGAGTGTTAACACCAGGATCTGCTTTTTAACACACTATTTACTCTGTTATACTGGATGTCAGAACATAATGTGTCAATATATATATATTTCCTAGAGTTCAATGAGAACTCTTCAAATGTTGTGAACTTTTTTTATTTCCTGGTTTTTTAGCCTTCAGAGTTTCATAACATGTGACAGGAGAGCGGCCTGTATGGAGCTAATTATGAAGCAAATTTCCTGCCATAACTCCACAAACAAACTAAACAGGTTTTACAAATGCCACATGATTCACTAACAAACACAATGTGGTTTGCAAATACAAAACACCATCTACAAACTAATGCATTTAGTTTTGCAAAGAAAAAATGTATCTATCAAATAAACACATAACATTTTTCTAATAAATCATGTTTCAGAGACAAATTCAGCAGAGGTTTACAAGTACACAACTTTTTTTTACAACTACAACACTTTTTTTTACAAGTACAAAACTTTTTCTTCTCACGGCGGATTATTACTGCCAAAAGTCACGTGACTCACTCACGTGACTTTTGGCAGTAATAGAGTGGCAAAGTCACGCCCATCTACTTCCGCCCCATGGGACCTTATTTCGGAAAAATAATGTATTGAAGTCAATGGAGAGAGAAAACGTATCTTTCGATCCCGTTTGAATTGTGCCATGAATTACACATATGATGTTTGTCAATCTTAAAAAATCATTTCCATGTAAAAAAAGTCACAGTTTGTCGTAAAACTGTTGAAATATAAGACTATGAAAAATACGCAACGAGAAAGACTACAAATCCCAGAGTCGCGTAAGTGATGTCACAATTGTTTTCCTCCACTAAGAGATAGCTAAGATCAGCGCCATATAGATATAATCTATCTATATGGCGCTGGCTAAGATAAGATAACTTTAACAAGATGCCTGTGTGCTTAGTACCAGGTTGTTATCATACCAGCAATGGGTCTTGCTCGTTCTTTCGCTTCCCGTCTGATGAAAGGACCAGGAGTGTCTGGATCAAGCTAGCTAGTAGCTAGCACGTTAGTTAGCATTACAGCCTTGTCATTTTTATTAGCCTTAACATGAAGTAACATTAAGTAACCCAAAATGTTAAACAGTAAGAGTAGTAGTCATATTTCGTGAACCCTTTGAATAGTACTGTCACCGGTGTGATCATTCTATAATACACAATTTAAGCCCGGGGGAGAAATGCTAACGCTAACGCTAGCATCGACGATCTTCTCTACTTCATGCTATCTGCACAAATGGTTGACATTAAAAATTAAAACGACCAGGCAGTTCAGAGAGAATCAAAGGAAGGCAGGCAGGCAGCTTTGCATGACATTCTTCAGGACGTGTTTCATTGTGGTGATAGTGAGGGAAGTCAATCGTTTTGTTGACAAGACAGTAGTGACGGCCATCTTGGTGACGTGTGTTGTTGACCAGAGATGTAGTTCATTGAGCGTTTCACACAAACAAATGTGTTACTTCACAGTTTTACAACCCATTTTATTTTTTTTTACTTGCAAAATTATCTTTTAAATTGACAAACATCATATGTGTAATTCGTGGCACAATTCAAACGGGATCGAAAGATAATCTTTCTCTCTCCATTGACTTCAATACATAATTTTTCCGAAATAAGGTCCCATGGAGGTCCACCGGAAGGGGAGGGACTTCGCCACTCTATATTCCGCCGTGGCTGGCTCATACCACTCACTCACACATGCTCCACGGCAGCAGGGGGCGCTACTGAGTCCATTGGGAAGGCGGGAGGTTGAGCAGAGAATGGAACAGCCCTTGCCAGCCTGATGACAGCCGTGTTTCTAGCGATCCAGCGATCTGAATTTAGCGATCACAACGAAAACAGCCAAGACACATATTGAGCCCAGAAAATGAATGTTCTTAGGGCTGTAAATATAATAAGCCTTTGTCTAAAATGGACAACATTGTAACTAAGGAGATTTAAACTATACAGCGATTCTGCACTCGGTCAATCAGCTGCTCTTCATTTTCTTTCCTGCTATATTCAATGAGTGATACAAATATTTTTTACCATACGTTCTGAATAAAACTGATACTGTTGGACTCGGTACTAGTTGACTGCTACCAGAAATAAAAGGAAGTACTTTACTGTGTACTTTGTGAGTAATCCTCTGTCAGAGTCCCCTCCATAGTACATAATGCATGTTTTCTGCTATCTTTGATGAGTGATAAAAATACTATTTTACCATAAGTTCTTAATGAAATTGAGACTGCTGTACTCAGTATTCTTACACCTACTATCACAATACATTGAAGTACTTCTAGTGTGTGTGTGTTTTTTTTTTTTAAATCCTCTGTCAAAGTCCCCTCCTGAGAACAAAATCAAGCCACTTCTGCTAAATTTGATGAGGGAAAAAAATATTTGTTGCCATTAGTTCTTCGTGAGATTGACACTGTTGGACTCAGTACTAGTACCACAAGTACTATGAAGTACTTTTACTGTGTACTTTTTGAGTAATCCTCTGTCAATGTCCCCTCCTGAGTACAATAATGCATGTTTCTCTGCTATTTTGAATAAGTGTTAAAACACCTTTCTTCCTGAGACTGATATTGTTGGACAGAGTACTTTAAGAGGATGATTGACATGATATCAGCAATACTTCCAGTCAGTACTCCGGCAGCAGCATTTTTACACCTTGGAAAGTCTTTAGAGTCTGGCCTGGATAGCTGGTCACAAATATCCTTCAGCAAATGGCGCGTTTCCACTACAGCCCGCAGCCCGGTTTAAGAGGGCTGTGACGTCAGCGGCCCGTCTTTGGTTGCGTTTCCACTTGGCCTAGTACCGGCCGGCGGGTCCTAATTCACAGTTTTTCTGGCCTCATAAAATCGTGGGTTCAGGGCCAGAGACAACGAGGCTGAGTCGGGCTGAGTATGCTAAACTAGAGAGAGCGTCGCTGGCAAGGGGGCAACAACTACAACAAGATGGACATATTTGACCGTGATTTAATTGTAATACACGTTTCAAAATGATGCCGAAGTAACAACATACTGATACCGGTTAGTAAAAACCATGAATTAATGCTTTGTCAAGTCTGCAGACAGACGGCAGGGGAAAAACCTTTTAAAATGCTTGTTTTCTAAATGGAGATTGGCTAAGCTAACGCAGTATATGCTCCGACCGTCCACACTCACAACAACGGCCTATACAGACATAAATAAAGCAGCGACTGTATTCACCATGACACAGGCAGTCTGTGGTTTGTACTTGTTTAACTTTTGTCTAGTTTCTGAACATATATGAGGAGCTGTGAGCTCTGAGTGCTAACAGCTAACGGCTGTGTTGTTTTTCTGGGGTCCTCTGAAGATCACGTCACGGCTCCGCCTACACTGCGTTACTATAGATACTGCCCCAGTTCCTAAACTGTAATGGAAATGCAGCATAAAGTGAGCCAGTCCTAACGAGGCCCAGCCATACCGAGCGGGGCCGAGCGAGGCCGTGTAGTGGAAACGCGCCAAAAGTGACGCACCCTTGTGACTCTTGTTGGCCTCTTATGGGGCTGCTGTCTTTTAAATATGATTATTTCTCTGCTCCTAGTTCATTCCTCTCAGATTCTTCCATCAGTCCCAGTCATTGCATGTCTGTCAATAGAGCTTGGAAAAATGTGTCCAATTCAACAAAATGTTTTTGTGAAGGTCAGAGCTAAATTATAGATTGTTTGATTGTGTACTTACAAGGTGAGAGAAAATAAATCCACATCCTCCTATTAAACTTATTTTATTTACTTTTCCATGTTGTACATATACTTACTTGTATTACATGTTGAACTACATGCTGGATATCTTCCCCAGCCTCAAGGAAATACAATAAAATTAATGGATTCATAATAAAAAAAAATTATAAAAATGTATAAATTAATATAAAATTTGAAATATAAAATGAAAAATAAGTTTACTTTTGAAATGATTTCTCACAAAAACCTTTCTAAATTATAGTAAATTATTAAAAAAGGTTTCGTCAATATACGTTTTTCTGCCTAAAATAGTTAAAATTGAACGTAAACTATATCAAACACCACATCCATGGCAATTATCCCATTTTTGCCCGCTATTTAAATTGACTGTGGTTGAAGTTAATAACAATATTGATATTATATATATATATATATATATATATATATATATATATATATTTATATATATAGCATATAATTGATGCAGTCTTTCTGAACACTTTTAAAATACTGCAAATGCAGAATATTTGTAATGTTCTGCACAGATAGTGCCTTAACTTGAATTTGAAAACACGTGGCAACTTTATTAATACAGCAGATGAAAAGATTTGTGGACGGATAAATTCTTCATGGGCTTCAATGGCTCTCTAGATAAAGGGTGCCAAAAAAGGCATATATATATATATATATATATATATATATATATATATATATATATATAACCTGGCCAGCTTAACCCGTCTGTATTTCTTCAAGCACCACAAGATTCATAGTTTATAAAGTACAATTCTGGGCCATTGATTGTGTTATTTCTCCAAACACATACAGTAAACATGCCTGTTATGAAGCCTTAAAATGGTGCAGGAAAAGGACTTTACATTGGGTTATACTTAAAGACAGGACTATTCAGTTAAGAGAAGAGAAAAAAGGAAAGAAAATTGTTATAATGGGTGATGTAACATTAATGACAGACATAATATGAGGTCCTTGGCACTCAGACTTTAGAGGGATCATTTTGTGATCATGGGGCATCACCCTTACAGCATCAGGACAATATCCAGTGTCTGACTCCATATGATATGGAGTCAGACACTGGAAGTGTGCTGGAGGCATTGACTGGGACTGATGGAAGGATGAGGCTGATGAGACTGAAGAATCTGCGAGGAACGAACTAGCGGCAGAGGAATAGTTATATATTAAAAGACAGCAGCATCATAAGAGGGCAACCAGAGTGACAGTGTGTCACTTTGCTGAAGGATATTTGGGACCAGCTATCCAGGCCAGTCTCTAAAGACTTTC